CGGAGAGAGAGGGAGGGAGGGGGGGTGGGGCAAGGGGTGGGGCGGGCGGGGGGGGGAGGGTGGGGGGCGTGGTGGGGGGGGGGGCGGTGAACCTGGTACCCTCCCATGGGATTGGACTACAACTCCCATTATTCCCTGCCAGCACGGCCAGTGTGTTGCAAGGCCCCTCCCCTCCCCAAATCATATGCTCAAGCCAGATAAAAATCCTGGCTTCAGAGTGAGATTAATCTATGGGAGGGTCCTCCCCCCAGTTGGACAGCTGCCCATTTTCCCCCTCGGGGTCTGGCCCCTCCTGAGCGCCCCCAGAGGAACGCAAGCTTCGCCTTCCCCCACGCTGTCGTCCTCCTGCCCTGTCGGGCTACCTCTCATCACCCCAGCAGACCAGGGGTCCCCGAAAGGCCCCTGGCAGGACTCAAGGTGCTGCCTTTGACCGGGCATGGAGGAGAAGGGGAATACCTGGCAAGCCCCCAGCAGAAGCAGCCCCACGGACGGAGCCCAGAAAGTGCCCCCGGACTCCCAGCTGCTTGAGCTCGCGTGGCGGGGTAACCCTTTCCAGTGAAGGCCTGGGGGCAGCTGCCCTTCCAGAGGAGTGCAGTGGGGGCTCTGCCAGTAGAGGCATGGGTGCCAGGCGCTGGGGGGCAGAGCAGCGCCTTGAGCCCCTTCAGTTGGGGTGGGGAACTGCTGCCATTGCCCTCATGGGAAGACGTGGCCAGGAGGTGGGTCTAGAAAGGCCCTTTTTGACCACTTTCCAAAGGGGAGTGGGGGGCAGAAGGGGCTTCTGATGCTCAGACGTCGGAGTAAAGTCAGGAGGACACGAAGAAGGGTGATAGCCCGGCGTTTCTGGACGGCACCAACCAGTGATCCTGAACCCTGAGAACTGATAGTCTTAAGCCATTTGCATCTATTTATCAGAACCCTCCTGGTGACAGCCCTAAATACCAAGCCAGTGTTGCTCTTACGTTGCGCTGCTTAGGCGAAGATGCCATCTTGTTACCCAGATGTGTTTCACCGCTGGCAGAGAGTAGGAGGCCTCTTCAAGAGTGGTGTTGCACCCAGAAATGACTTTCTGGACCGTCAGCTTCTGTTGGAAAAAGCACAGATAGCACAGGGTTAATTTTCTAATGGACTTTTAGGCGAGGTTTATGAATAGGTGGATGCAAGAGAAGGTTGGACTCTGGAACAAGGAAATTGTGCTGTTCCTTCTTGCTAACTGTCTTCAGCCTCCACTTTCTCTCTCCCAATCTGCCAAATTTGGTATGGACATCCTGTGGCTCTGACATTGAGAGAAGCCCTACCATGCACCTCTGTGATTGTCGGACCTGTGTGTGTCACCTGCCCTTGTTTCTATTGTTGGATAGAAGTGCATTCATCTGTCATGCCAACAACTGTTTCATGGGGACACAGCACCGGGGTGTGGTGTACAGCATTTGTCTGAATCCAAATCAGTGCTTTTTGCTGTGAAGAAAAGCAAAAGAATCCTTTGAGCTAGCTGAAAATCTAAATGCTGAAGATTTTGCTCAGAGATCAGAAATGGGGAAATTCAGTGACGGACTAACTTCATAGATGTCACAAAAATAGCATTAAAATGGACATTTTAATGCTATTAAAATTAAACTTTACAGCCAGTTTGGTCTAGTAGTGAAGGCACCAGACTAGAAAGCAGGAGATGGTGAGTTCTAGTCCTGCCTTAGGCAGGAAAACTGGCTGGGTGCCTTTGGGCCAGTCCCTCTCTCTCAGCCCAACTCACCTCACAGGGTTGTTGCTGTGGGGAAAATAGGAGGAGGAAGGAGTATTAGGTATGTTCACCACTTTCAGTTATTTATAAAAATAATAAAGGCGGGATTTAAAAAAATACAAAAGGGCAGGACACATTATCCATTTACCTGACAATAGGTGAATGCCAAAAGGGACTTGAGGCTCTACAATTATACGTGTCCACTTGGACGACCTCCTACAAGGTGGACTATGAAAGGATCTTGGTCCCAACTGGAACAACATTGTGAAAGATTGAATGAAATATAAGTATCTGTTGAAGTTGTTGCTTTGGATATCAGTAGTATCCAGCTGATTATGAGAAAAAGGTAAAGTGGAAGTGAGGGGGCTGAAGCCACAGGCCAGGAAAATAGCTTGCAAGGTAACGTCTGCCCTGAGAGTTGCAATAATAGGATGCAAAGCAGTTAAAGAGTGTTCCGTATGTATTTGTTGGGGAATGAAAGGAAAAGAGAGTTGAAGCCATTTCATGGCTAAGAAAACAAGTTGTGGTTTGGAAGGGTTGACAGCTGAATCCTGTTTTGGTTAGGAGCCTCCATCTTATTCTCCTAACTTTTATTTGCAATATAGGAGTATGCTTCGGGGCTGTTGAAAGGATTTATGTGATGGAAGTATGTGAATGCTCTAATAATATAAATCAGTGTTTCTCAACCTTGGCAATTTTAAGGCCTGTGGACTTCAACTCCCAGAATTCCCCAGCCAG